CTTGATCATGAGGTATAAGCTTTTTGTTGTGCTGCTAGATTCAGTTTGCCAGTATTGAGGATTTTTGCATCGATGTTCATCAGGGATATTGGCCTGAAGATTTCTTTTTGTTGTATCTCTGCCAGATTTTGGTATCAAGATGATGCTGGCCTCATAAAATGAGTTAGGTAGGAGTCCCTCCTTTTCAATTTTTTGGAATAGTTTCAGTAGAAATAGTACCACCTCTTCATTGTACCTCTGGTAGGCAGGAGCATATTCTTTGGTTATCCTTTGATGAAAATAGCTTTTAGATAACCTACTATATCCTTCAATTTCATGTTTTATCTACCACCAATATTTCAAAGCACCTCCTACCCCTGCCTGGCTCCAAGGTGAATGTATTTGAGTCTCCATAAGGTTGGAGGTGGGAAAATTTACCTTTTCAATCGATCCTACCTTTCACTGTCTACATATATTATCTAATAAAGTATTAATCAGTATTTGTTAATAAGCAACTTTAAACAACTACAAAATAAAAATGGTATTTGTTTTTTTTTGTCCCCTAACAAGGGCTGAGAGACAATTATGTGTACTATATTAGAGAGATAACCATGTTTCTTGCTTTGGTTGATGAAAGCCACTCATTCCCCAAGCACTTTGATTAATCATGACTGTACCATGTTTGACTTTGGATAACACCTTTTATTTTATCTTCCCTTGTTTCACTGAGACTACATTGTAATTAGCTTGCGTTTTCTGAGAGCATCATGTCTGTTGAGTGAGGATAAATCTTTGACCTGTGACTACAACTTATATTAATTATATAAATGCATGGCTGTGTGTGCATAAGAAGACTGTGACTTTGCAATGGTTGTATTTGGCTTTAATGGAATATGTTCACTGATGTTTTTCAGCAAACAAGAAGTGATGACGTTAGTCAGGTTGCAACAGGGCATCAAAGCAAAAAGAAACATTCCAGAGAATCCAAGAGACACTCATCATCTAAGAGAAGGAAGAGTATGTCCCTGTGGTTACACCAACAGGAAGGTGAGGGGGAATCCAATCTTTTGGGCCTCAGCCATGTCAAAGGACATTTGTAGTCATGTCCTTGAGGAATGAACAGATATGAGTGCATTTGCAAGTGGAACGGCAATGCTCTAATTAGGTGCAACAATTTGGAGTTTCTGCAAGCATGAGATGAATAAAGCAGGTTCCTGAGGCAGAAGGAGATGATGGGTGCAACAAGAGGATGGGTCTGCTCACTTTCTGCCTGTCCTCACATTCCTCTCTAACCCAGTGCAGTATGGCTTCTTCTTAGTCTACTCCAATGAAAATACTGCTATCAAGGTCACCGTGTTTGCTGCACTTTGATATCAATTTCTCAGCAGCATGTGACACAGTTGTTTACGCCCTCCTGCACGGAAAACTTCTTGGGTCCCCAGACACCCAGATTTCTTACTCTGTTACTAAGGGCTCATTTTCCTTCTCCTTTTTGTTTTTCTCCTCTTCCTTCCCATTTCTAAATATTTCAGGGCGACAAAGCTTGATTCTAGGCTCTCTTCGTTTCACTATAGTATCTTTTTATGTGATGCCATGCTGTCTTAGAATTTTAAATGATTCACACTACAAGAACTGTCACCATTATACTTCTAGACTACGACTTGCTCCTGAAGTCCAAACTCATAAACAACTACACGTGTGGTATCTCTATAGGGTGTCTAATAGGCATCTCAATTTCAACCAGCTCTGCATGTTCAAATTTCTGACCTCCCTCTCTCCAAACATACTTTACTTGCAGCCTTCACTATTTCAGTTAAAGATACTGTCCATTAGGTGAAACATCCACAAAGGTGTAACAAGCAGCTGTTCACAGGTATGGGGGATTCAGAAGTCCTGGTTTTAGAGTTTTCAGCTGCCCACAGTACACATAATCCCACCATGGCCTAGTTCAAGCTGTGGACGTAAGGTCACTGAACCAGAATCAGGAAGAGCTGGCAGCACTCAGCTCCCGTAGTCGGTTGCCTGACACTTCCTGAACACCCCTGGTATACTTTTACTTAATAGTTCACCTCAAAATACTTAAAGTCACTTGTGATTTCTCTTATGATTTGTTTATTATTCTCTCGTTTCCAATCTCTTGGCAAGTCCAGCAGCTGATGCCCAGTATAAACTCTGCATCCCACCATTTCTCTCTATCCCTCCAAGTGAACACTGCCATGATCTCTCACCAAGGTAGTACGATACCTTCTTAGCTCTGTGTTTCCCTCTTTTGTGGCATACTCTCTAACCCTGTAGCTAATTATATCGGCAAGTAAATCACATCATGCCATGTCCTTCCTGAAAACCCATCCTCAAGTCTCCTAAGCACTCAGAACAGACCCTGAACCAGCTTTGGACTGCGAGCCTCTGCACGGCCTGGCCCCTGTCACCCTCTCCTAACACGGGTCCCATCCATTTCCTCCTAGCTCTCTCTGCCTAACACCCTCAACCGCCTAGTCCACACCCAATCCACACCCCACCCCCGACCCCACCCCAGCACCAAACCCTCCAACTCCCCCTCCACAGCAGCACAGAAGGCTCCCCCCAAGCCCCCAACAACGGCACAACGACACATCCCCAGAACCAACGACCAACAACCCCCAACCCCCCAGCCGCCCCCGGCTCCCGCAGCCCACAGGACTATGGACCAAACACCAAACAAAAGCCCAATGCTGCATGTGCCAATTGCGCATGGCCCACCTGACGGCCCAATGCCCAAAGAAGATCCACAACAGCAGCAACGAACACTCCCCGACCGCCTGACTACCGATCACCACCAACTCCCAGCCTGCAGACCACAAAAGATGAAGAAAAAAAAAAAGAAATAGAACACCAGGAAAAAAAAGAAAACCACTTCTACAAAAAAAAAGAGAAGCAGCAGAAGAACCAAAAAAAAACAGAGATGTGACAAGAGAGAGGAGAGAAAAAAGGTCAACTCCAAAAACCAACCCCAGTTTCCCAGAAAAATTGAAGGAAAAAAGAAGCAAGATAAAGAAAGACCACCTAAGCCGGCCTTCCTGCTGCGCACAGCATGACATTCATAAGTGAACTATAAAAATAATATCAAATGAGAATTGTAAAGGGCAGCAAGATGATTCAAAATTATGAGTACAAGAAACATGTGAATGTTTATTCTGCTGTAGTACTTTTTTACTGCATGTATTCATTATGCCAAGATGTAAAAAGGTAGTTTTATTGTATTATCTGACCTGATCTTTGTTTGCAAGATCTGAGATTTCCATGTGGTAAATCTTTCTGTTTCATGAAATAAATAATTCCCTAGAAACTGATTCATACATAGCTGTCTCGCTGGGGGAGGATGGGACAAAATACACCTATCTTGCAGCTCAACTTGTTCATTTGGTTTCTAGATGCTAGTGTCACTCAAAATGTCTGTGAAGAGAAGACGGAAATTGGCCAACCACAACTTGATAACATCTTGTCAACTGTTCCACTAGAGCTTATTAAAAGGGCAAAAGCTGGTATTTCATCCATGGGTATCAGGCATCTGTGTAAGTTTATTAGTTGTACTGTCCTACTTGGTTTCCATATGCATGCCTAATATCACGAAGGGAAGAAGGTGGTTTTGTTGTATTACCTTTCATGGCCTCAGTTTGAGGGGTGTCAGATTGCTATATCCTAATTCTGGATGAGATAATTTCCTAGAAACTGAGCATCAGAGGGGTATACCTGTGGGGTTGACATAATGCACTTACCTCACAGCTCAAACCCTTAATTTGGTTTCCAGATGCTTCCTTCACTCACAATGTTTGTGAAGAGAGAATGGAAAATGGCCAGCCCCTACCTGATAACATCTTGTCAGCTGGTCCTACAGGGCTTATTAATATGGAAGCAACTCGTATTCTAGTCTTGGCTACTGGGGATCTCTGTATGTTTGCTTATAAGTTGTGCTGTCCTACTTGGTTTTCATATGCATGTATAGTGACATGAAGGGAAGAAGGTGATTTCATTGTATTATCTTTTCTGGCCTAAATCTGAGGGGTCACAGATCACCAGCTGATATATCCTCCTGCTTCATAAAATAATTTCCTAGAAACTGAGCATCAGCGGGATATACTTGTGGTTTGGCATAACGCATTGACCTCACAGCTCAACCTCTCCTTTGGTTTCCAGTTGTTACTGTCACTCACAGTGTCCGTGAACGGAAGATGGGAAATGGCCAACCAGCACCTGATAAAGTGTTGTTGACTCTTCCATCAGGGCTTGTTAATATGGCAGCTGCTGGTATTTCATCCATGAGTACCAGAGATCCATGTAAGTTTGTTTATTAGTATTACTGTCCTACTTGGTTTCTATATGCATGCATAGTGTCAAAAAGGGTAGGAGGTGGTTGTGTTGTATTAACTTTCCTGGCCTCAATTTCATGGCAACCTGGTATATGCTTATGTTTAGGAGATAATTTCTTTTTTTTTTTTTTATTTCGACACCAGACTTTTATTCCCGTGTTAATAACCTGTAAGTAAAAGTGAGATGAAGCACACAGAGATGAACACAGGACCATCCTCTTTAAGGACACCGGGCCACACAGAGCAGCCATCATGGAATGGGAAAGGGGAGGAGAAGCAGAAACCATCAAGAAACCCCGGCAAGAACCAACTGGTCCTCACAACTTGTGTTTATGTGACTTGGAGGGCAGTAAAGCAAATGAAAGAGGAGCCCCCAAATGACCAAATTCTAAGGGAAGTGTCTCAAAGGACAAATCCCAAGGGTGGGGGCAACACTTGTAGCCTCCAGGCCCTTGGTACCTACTCTGCCCAGGAGGACGAGCTGTGAGAACGACACTGAGGCTCACCCAGCTGTGGGAATGGGGCAAAAAAAAAGACACCAGCCACCAGATTCAAGACTCTGGTTGGAAGCACTCAGCCCCGTGCCGGCTAACAGCTCTGCAGGGCAGGCTCAGGGACCTGCAGCCAATGCTACAGGGGGGGAGGGCAGATGCCAGCGTCTGCTCCAAATGAAATCTAAGCAGCTGAGAAAAGCCACACGCATCCCCAATCAGCAGCCAGCGTCTGTGCCGTTGGCACCTTCATCCTCTCACTGTTATTCAGCACACGTTCCGTAGCTCCTTAGAAACCATGTAGAGCTGCCTTTTCTTCCCTTCTGTCGTCCGAGTTAACAAATTCATCCTTGAGAATGAAGGGTCCAAAGCATAAAATTTCTCAATAGGTGGAAACAATGGGTCACCTTCAGGAATGAATACAAACCGGTCTTCTTTAAATCCGAATAACTTCATTTTCTTTGATGGAGGAAGACGACACACGCCATTTTTCCTATTGCCATTATTCTCTAAATCCTCAGTTGCATGAGCTATTTCTGTGTCACCAGTTCTTGTGACTGACATACTTTCCAGCTTAGAGGGATCTGTGGGTTTCCCTTCTGTGGGATCTGCAGGGCTCACCTGGGTGCTTCCTCTGGTCTCTGCAGATTTACCCTGCAGCTTTGGTTGACGTTTGTTCCATGGCATTGAAGATTTTTTCACCAATACTGCCACAAAGAACCCTCCAGTATTCTGATGATGGGGTAATATCCTAAGGCATCGCTCCAGATGCATGGCCCGTAGCTTTTCTGGGTCCTTCAGAGGGAACATGGTAGGTCGGATCTGGGTGTGTCTGCTGTGAGGAACAGCGTCCCAGTCTGTAAACCACTGCCCATCTTTTGTCATTACCTTCCACTGAGTGATTCCCGGCATCCACTTCAGCCCTGGCAGTTCATTAGACACATCAGCAAGCTCCAAAGCACCTTCACTTTTTTCAAGTAAAGGTGCTATGACTGCTTCATCCTCAATAGGGTTTAGTGAACACGTGGAATACACCATCCTTCCACCTTCAGCCAGCTATTCAGTCCCGCGTGTTACGATCCGCAGCTGTAAGCCATGTAGCTGCAAGCTATTTAAAGTGATCCACTTTTTCCAAACATCAATGTTTTTTCTCATAGTGCCGTCTCCACTGCAAGGGACATCACATAAAATTCGATCATAGAAGAGGATCTCTTTCCTGCCGCCCACATCTATCTGGAGCCTGGGTATGCTGGAGGCCTCATGGTTAACCACCATGATGCAGGGGCTGCTCAGCCTCTTGGCTTGATGGACGAGCAGGTAGCAGCACTTGTTGTCAACATCATTCGCAATAACAAACCCCTCTGGAAAGGGGACATTCATGTCGGCATGTAGCATTTCAATTAACTGTGTGGTCTTTGAGCCAGGTGCTGCACACATAGCTAAGATCTTATGATGAGACTGGACGTTGAGCAGCAGTGGTGGGATCATGCTAATAGCTTCCTGACGACTGATATTTCCAGATTCCGTTTCACTAACTAGAAACTGATGAAACTTTTCCAACTGTGGCGATTTTCTCAAGATTTTTAGACTTAAATTAGTGTGCCAGGCAAGTTCTTCAGGATACCAACTCAGGGGCTGTGGAACTTCAACTTTCTGACCATCCACCTCCAGGTCCTCCAATTCCTTGAAATATTTGTTCTTTAAGCAATGGAGAATCTCTTTTGCATGGCTTTTGTAACCAGTAATTCTTAAAGTGGCCGGGAGGGGCTCCCTGAGGGCACATGAACTGGTCCCACTCGCCCTCGGGCACGATCTTGAGCTCCTGGTAGTAGTGCTGGAACAGCTTGTTCTCCTTGACGATCTCGAGGTACCCTCCTTCCCAACCCACCTCGCCGCGCTTTCCGCCGCCCTCAGCGCCGTCCTCCGCGCCCTCAGGCCGCTGTTGCTGCTGGAGCCTCCGGCACCGCGACCGGCGCCCCATGGCCCACCCGGGAGCGCACGCAGCACGCAGGAACCGGCCCCGAGATAATTTCTTAGAAACTGAGCATCAGAAGAATATGCCTGTGGAGTTAGCATAATACTTTTACCTCACAGCTCAATCTCTTCATTTGGTTTCCAGATGCTACAGCCACTTACAATGTCCCTGAAGAGAAGATGGAAAAACGGGCAACCCCAATCTGATAACATCTTGTCAGTTGCTCCACCAGGGCTTATTAATATGGCAGGAGCTGGTATTCCATCCATGAGTACCAATGATCTGTGTATGTTCACTTAAAAGTTGTATTTTCCTACTTAGTTTCCATGTGCATGCATATTGTTGTGAAGGGGAGATGGAGGTTTTGTTGTATTATCTTTCTTGAGCTCAATTTGAGGGGTCTCAGATTGCGGACTGTCATGTCCTCCTGCTTTATGCAATAATTTCTTGGAAGTTGAGCATCAGAGGGACATACCTGTGGGGCTGACATAATGCACTTTCCTCACAGCTCAACCTCTTCATTTGGTTTCCAGATTCTACCGTCACTCACAATATCCATGAAGAGAAGGTGGAAAATGACCAACCTCAACCTAATAACGTATTGTCAACTGTTCAACCAGTGGTTATTTATTGGGCAGTAGCTGGTATTCTGGGCATGAGTATCAGTGATCAGTATATGTTTGTTTACTAGTTGTACTGTCCTAGTGGTTTTCCATATGAATGCACAGTGTCATAAAGGGAAAGAGGTGGTTTTATTGTATTATCTTTCATGAGCTCAATTTGAGGTGTCTCAGATGTATCCCCCTCCTGCTTTATGGGATAATTTCCTAGGCCTTAAGCATCAGAGGGATATACTTGAGGGGTTGACATAATACACTTAGCTCAGAGCTCAATCTTTTCATTTGGTTTTCAGATGCTACCATCACTCACAATATCTTTGAAGAGAGGATGGAAAATAACCAACTACCATCTAATAACATCTTGTCAACTGTTCTACCAGGGCTTACTTATTTGGTAACAGCTGGTATTCCAGCCATGAGTACCAGGGATCAGTGTATGTTTGCTTATAAGTTGTACTGTCCTACTTGGTTTTCATAGGCATGCCTAGTGTCCTGAATGGGAGAAGGTGATTGTGTTGTATTACCTTTCATGAGCTGCATTTGAGTGTACTCAAATCGCCACCTGGTATATCCTCTCCGGCTTTATGAAATCGTTTTCTAGGAACCGAGCATCAGAGGACCATACCTGTGGGGTTAACATAATGCACTTACCTCAAAGCTTTATCTCTTCATTTCATTTCCAGACGCTACCTTCACTCACAATGTCCGGTGAAGAGAAGACAAAAAATAGCCAACAAGCACCCGATAATGTCTTCTCAACTGTCCCAGTAGGCCTTATTAATATGGCAGCAGCTGGTATTTCATCCATTACTATCAGGAATCAGTGTAAGTTTGTTTACTATTTGTACTATCTTACTTGGTTTCCATATGTATGCATAGTGTCATGAGGGAAGAAGGTGGTTTTGTTGTATTATTTTTTCTGGCCTCAATTTGAGGGTTCTCAGATTGTTACCTGGTATGTACTCCTTCTTTATGAGATAATTTCCTAGATATTGAGCATCAGAGGGGCACACCCATATGGCTGACATAAGGCACTTACCTCACAGCTCATCCACTTCATTTAGTTTCCAGATGCTACTGTAACTCACAATGTCCAGGAAGGGAAGACAAATAATGGTCAACCAGCACCTGATAACATCTTGTCAACTGTCACACCAGGACTTATTAATTTGGCAGGAGATCAGTGTATGTTTGTACCAGGGATCAGTATAGGTTTGTTTACTAGTTGTACTATCCTACTTGGTTTCCACATGCTTGCAGTGTTATAAATGAAAGAACGCGGTTTGAATGCCGTGTCTTTTGTGAGCTGAATTTGTGAGCCACCTGGTATATCCTCTGGCTTTATGTGATAACTTCCTAGAAACTGAGCATCAGATGGATATAACTGTGGTATTGATATAATGAACTTTCCTCACAGTTCAGCCTCTTCATTTGGTTTCCAGATGCTACCTCCACTCACAATGTCTAGATGCTACCTTCACTCACAATGTCCATGAAGAGAAGATGGAAAATGGGCAACCAGTACCTGATAATGTCTTGTCAACTGTTCTACCAGGGCTCATTAACACAGAAGCAGAGGGTATTACATGCCTGAGTACCAGGAATCTATGCATGTTTGTTTATTAGCTGTACTTTCCTACTTGTTTTCCGTATACATGAGTAGGGAAGAAGGTCAAGTGGGGAAGAAGGTGATTTTGGTGTATTATCTTTCTGGGCCTCAATTTGAGAGGTCTCAGATCGCCACTTGATATATCCTCCTGCTTTATGAGATAATTCCCTAGAAACTGAGAATTAGAGGGATATACCTGTGGGGTTACCATAATACACTTACCTCACATATCAACCTCTTCATTTAGTTTCCAGATGCTACCTTTACTCACAATGTCCACGAAGAGAGAGTGGAAAACGGCCAATGCCAATGAGATAACATCTTCTCACATGATCCACCAGGGTTTATTAATATGGCAGGAGCTGCTATTCCAGGCATGGGTACCAGGGATGCAGCTCTCCACTTCTGCCTTTTGTAGTAGGTAGGCATTATGAACAGACTAAATATTTGTGTTCTCTGAGGATTCAGACAATGAAACCCTGACTCCAATGGGATGATATTTGGAGGTAGACTGTTTGGGAGGTAATTAGGTTTTGATGTGGTCATGATGGTTGGGTCCCTGTGATTAGATTAACGTCCTAATTAGAGAAAAGAGAATTTTTTCTTCCATGCCTCTTCAACATGTGAGGATATGGCAAGGTGGCTGACTGCAAGCCAGGAAGAGGACCCTCATCAGAATTTGAGCATGCTGGCACCCTGATCTTGGACTTCTGGTGTCCATAACCCTGAGAAAGAAATGCCTGATGATGAAGCCACCCAGTCTGTGGCATTCTGTGATAGCAGCTGGAGCTGACTGAGACAGCTGTAGTCTGATCCCCCAGATTCCCATCTCCTGTATACTCAGTCACTAATCCTAATACTGCTATGGTGGGATTTTGCAGGAGAATTAAGGTCTCAAGTCACTTAACCTTGAGACACGAATGTGGTGTGGGTGGGCCAGACCTGGCAGGGGAATCCTCGAAAAGCAGAGCATTTTCCTCACCCAGGAGCAGAAGAAGAGCTAAGAGTCAAAGCACAAGAAGGATGTGACACAGCAGGCCCTCTCTGAGGATAAAGCAGTGCTCCCGAGAAGTTGTAGGGTGACTCTAGGCATTTAGAGCAGTCCTTGGATGACAGCCAGCCAAAAAATGGGAACCACACTCCTACCACCTTAAGCAACTAGATCTAAATGAGTAATAGTCTGAATAAGCTCAGAAGTGGATTATTCCACAGTCTCCACATTAGCACCCAGCCGGCCCATTTTGAGTTGGCGTTGGGAGACACTCAGCAGACAGGCTGGTTGAGCCTTCCTGGTCTTGACTTGCAGAACTGTGGATAATACACTTGTGTTGTTTTAGGCCACTCAATGTTCTTCTAAAGCTGTTTCCTGCTGAGTGGGGTATTCTCCCTGCTTAGCCTGGGCCCTAAAGTCTCTTCCTGCCTGATCCAACGGGGTATGAACCACGTTGTTCACAGGACTGTGGGCAAGACATGAGATAGCTCATTAGCAGCCCAAGGTTGAAAGCCTTGCAAAACCATCATCATATGGACCTGGAGAAGCTGTAAGCAAGAGACTAGGAAATCAGCATTTTAAACACAGTGGGACCAAAAGTCAAAACTAAAAGCATGTTAACAACTGACACTGTTAAAGGGAGCAGAGCAGACAATAGCTAATGCTTCCAGTTCCCATGGAAGTTCCTAAAGTGTTAATTTTGTTTGCCTTGGTGATGACATTTCTGATGTTTTCTTGGACTAAACCAGACTGATTGACGTAAAAAGAGCATTCATCTTTCAGACACAAACATGTTTTTCTTTGACCGGCTGTGAGATTGACGGCTTTTTGGTTTTGTAGGACTATAAAGGCTAGGGAGTCCAGCTGCTGTTGAAGTGTAGGGAGGCCCTCTGCCGTTTGTGGGAGGGCCACCGTCATCTCCTAAAACAGGTTATGCTGGATGTCGAGGCTCTACCTCCCGTAGCTGACCATGATAATCCCAATAGAGAGGGCAGTAGTCAACTTAAGGGAATACAGGGTCTTGCTGGGAGCCGAATCTTGCTATGCTGGTACATGGGGAAAGGGAGAGATGTGTTAGCTCATGTGAAAGTTAGATAAGGGAAACCTAAGCGATCGAGCATCGCCCCTTCCATAGTGGGTAATTATAGATATGCCGAAGATCCGCAAACCTCCAAAATTTGTTTGATGATGAAATTTCTGCTGCAAAATATTTTGCATTAAAGTGGTGAAAGCAGTGGAGGGCCTATAAAAGGGGTCTCCTGTTTGGTGTCTGTAAGTGAAGGTTATGTGCAGCCAAGTTGGCAGTGGTTACGGGGACGATTAATGAATGCTAGAGCTGGGCAGCAGCATTAATACCTTCTTTAATTAAAGCTCCTCCTTTAGGGTTCGACTGCAAGGCAGTTATCTTTCGATAGGATATGTTGACAGTCCCTGGGAGATATATTGAGAGAAGGTGAATAAGGGCTTTCTGTGAGAGGATGGCCTCAGCAAAACCTAGAGGTTGTAGCTCTGTTGACAGGAAATAGAGGTGGCGCCAGTCCAGGGACATCTTAGAGCAAAAAAATTGGTTTCCTGGGTGAGGTGTCCGCTTATTAGTTTATTTCCTGCAGAGCTATTGACTCAGATAGGTGACCCAGTGACAAAGTTTCAGCTACACTGTCTCTCCTGGAGTTCTACGAAAGTGGCAGCACTGGCATGATTATTATAAAGGCAGAAAGGGAATTGCTATGAATAAAAGTGATGTAAGAAAGCATTTTTTTTTTTTTTCTGTTTGGGACATTTGAAC